CTGCCTGTGTCTCTGCCTCTCTCTCTCTCTCTCTCTGTGTGTGTGTGTGTGTGTGTGTGTGTGACTATCATAAATAAATAAAAAATTAAAAAAAAAGAAGAAGAGGCACAGATATGGCCCCACCTATGGGTTGACCATGCTCAGTTGGGGCTCTTATAGATACTGGGGTTACAGAAGACAGAGGCAGCTGAATCCATGTGTGAATCAACACGTGTGGATCTTTCTGAGTGGAACCGTTGGCTTGAAATTATGGCAGCTAAGGTGTCTTGGCACCACATGGAGAGACGTGGGAGAAAACAGCAAAACATGATTAGTATAAGACAAAGAAAAAGAAGGCCAAAGAAGACTCCTCTGATAGTTGACAAAAGTCCTTCTCTAGTCTATGTGTTTAACCAATCATTAAAGGAAAGAGGAATCCTTTAAAGCACCAATTTGAGTATACACGTTGCTTAGAAACCCAGATATATGGTAATCTGGAACATACCCAGAGCGTTTTGTTTTTATGATAGCACAGAGCACCCAGTTAAACATGTAGTGCTGCTCTATTTTGTAAAACTGCTTTATGCATTTGTGTTACCCAGTATTTAGTGGAGAAATGCTCTTTTGAATATCACTTAGGGCTTTGACCGTGAACTTACTAAGAGCTTCTGTGTGCCATACACCACTGTCCAGTCCCAGAGAGGCAACAAAGTTGGATGCGAGGTGGTTATACCAATGAGACGCAGAATGTGTCCACCATTGTCTTAAATTTGGAAGGTCGACTGGCTTGGTAATGGTTTTAATAATGCATCTGTGCATCCAGGCAAAACCCCGAGTACAGTGGCCTATCCAGCCATGGGGAAAGCCATGGACACAAGTTAGGGCCACAAGGACATTGGGTCCCATTAGGAGACAATCATCTAATGTTGGGCCTCCCTTTAACTGAATTGAAGTAATAAAAGAGGTCTGCTGTCACTTTGTAAGGACCAAGGGAGTCCAGATCCAGGGACAATTTCTCTTAGTTTTTTTTTTGTTGTTGTTGCCTCCAAGGTCTTTTTTTTAACCCAAATCAGTAGCCTGGTATAAACCCTGTATTACCTTCCTTGGTTATATTTGGGTATAATGATTTTTCTTTATTATTACCAACTCAGTCCTGTGCATTTCCTGGTCTGAATAACCTGGACTTACAGACTTTATTGGAGGTAAGAGTGGTAAAAGACTTAATGTTGTTTATTTTGTGCTGTCTGCTTGGCTGCACGGTGAATTGTTCCCTTTAGAATCTCATTCCTTTGGATATCCTTTGAGGTGAATTACAGGTACTTCCTTAGGTAGGAGTACAGCCTTAAGAAGAGTAATAATTTCAAGTCCTTATCTGTTTGGGGATAATGGCTTGATAATAATCCCCTTTTCTTCCAAACGGCTCCGTGAGCATGTAGGACTAGGAAAGCATATTTGGAGTCAGTACAGATATTAATTTTTAAGACTTTGGCAATTACAAAGCATGAGTAAGCACTATAACATACCCAGCTATTCTCACTCCATTTTCCACAAAACTATTGCCACCAGGAAACTATTGTCTGTTGGAGAATCTTTGTTGGGGAATCTTTAAACTCTGGTTGACTAAAATACACAAGGTCACTAACTTCTGAACAGTTGTGCTCTCTGGAACTATGATAGTCAGGACCAGGCATAAGGTAGCTGGTTTAGCATACGTTTGACACGTGTCAAGTGCTATTTCAGGTATGACTATAAGCACAGCCTGGTATTCAAGAAGTCGGCCTCTCACCATCTATTGGTAGCCTTTGGTCTCTATGACACTCTGGAACCAATGTGAAGTCATTCCACTCAGGGACTGTCCCATAGTGACCTTTGAGGCTCCTTTTACCAGGAGACCTGTTGTATGCTTGGCTAAAATCTTTGTTTGCAATTATACATCAACAGAGGTGGTTCTAGGATAAACGTGATTAAGGGGTAATACCATCAAGAAGCCCTCTTTTATGTGAGATCCAACTTTAACAAGATACTAATATAAGGAATCAAAGGCAAATGGGAGAAGGCTGGTCTCAAGGGATATGGGCATCCCCAAGTGCATCATCCAATCCAATCACAAAGTGGGGTCATCCGTTATCTCCACAAACCCACACTTAGCCCCACAGTTTGGGTATGCTCTGGCTTTTAGGGAGGGATTTTGTCATCCCAGCCACACAAAATTGGTCAAGGTGCTAACTATACAGTCGTTGGGGACCCAATCCTATTTTCCAGTTGCTTAAATGATCTTATACCCATGGGGTCCTGTTATTCCCATGGAATAAAAAGCATGAAGATTGTCTCTATGAGCTTCTGTGGCAATTTCTCTGAAGTTTACCTCAAATTGTCGGGCTTAGGCAAACAACATTAAAAGACATTTAGAAGTAGAATTTAACATCCACAAAGGTGGGTTATCGAAACATCATTTTTCTCTCTGAAATAACCCTAATTTCTAGAGATAGCCAAATCACGACTCATTTATTTGAAAAACAAGTCCAGTTTTAACAAACTTGGAATCATTATTTGCATAGCTCAGCAAGAACAACGATTGATCGTATAGACCCTTCGACCTGTTTTTCTGGAACATTTTATAAGGAATCTCTAGCTTGAACTTTTAGTAGCCTCTCCAGGCAGAAGCCAAGTCAAGCACTCGCCTCCAGCATGCCTGCAATACCTGTAGATGTGGGCAGATTGCTCTTGATCAGGTCCCCAGTTATCCTGAGGTTCTTGTACCTGCCAGGAGATGATGAGATTCTTTACTCACTTGGTGAGGCTGCTGGGAACTCTGTAACAGGTATCAGGCCAACTGTTCCAAGGCGCTTTGTGGCTTTATGCACGTCTCTCTCAAATATGGCATTCCAGTTAAAGCCTTGGTAAAATAACCAATGTTTCCAATGCTCTCCTATTACAGAGAGAACAGATTCTTATTGAACTTATGCAAATGACCATGATTGTCATGGAAGAAAGAATACTCACTGAGACCTTTTGAATATCAGAGGGTTTAGGTCGACAGAAAAGTTAAATGCTTCAATTTGTTCATAAGTGAATGCTTTATCAAATTTCTGTAAGTCATAGGTATCTTACTTAAGAGAGTTTCCTTATTCTGAAAGCACAAACCTGAGAGAACCAGCAGTGTTTCAAACAGAAGTCACAAAACCACACTCTTCTACTTAGTTCATTTAGTCCCATGTTACTAGTTCTTGTTTAATTCAAATGCAGCTTTTTAGTTAGTTCTGAAAATTCTTACCCATTCAGTTTTATGATCTTAAAGATATCGCATACCTGTATTCGTCCTAAAAATCCTTTATATGAACCTCCTTCAGGATGAGACATGGTGTCTCTTGGCCCCAAGTTGACCTCGACCTACCACAAGATTTCTTGACCCGCTGCTGACATCTGCTCTCTTTTTTCTAACCCCCCGACCCATGCTTTTTTTTTTTTTTCCCAGATCACCACGGTTCCAACACCACCTTTAGAATTTCATTGGTCTCTCAGTGCACCTGGCCCCCAAAAGCACCAGCAACTTGCCAAATGTTCCCCCACCCTTCTGCCATCGTCCCCACCACCACCATCATGAGGAAGTCGTCATCTAATTGAAGGTCAGTCGACTGGAAGACAAAGGTGAGTTGAGGCAGGAAAGAGTCCATTCTTTTTTATATATATAATTTTTTATTTAAATTCAATTTAGTTAGCATATAGTACATTATTCGTCTCAGGGGTAGAGTTTCATGACTCATCAGTGGCATATAATACCCAGTGCTCATTCCATCGCGTACCCTCCTTAATGCCCATTACTCAGTTACTCCCCCACCCCCACCTCCCCTCCAGAGACTCTGTTTGTTTCCCAGAGTTAAGGGTCTCTCATGGTTTGTCTCCCTCCTTGTTTTCCTCTTATTTTATTTTTCTTTCCCTTTCCCTATGTTCACCTGTTTTCTATCTTAAATTCTACGTGTGAGTGAAATCATGTGGTATTTGTCTTTCTGATTAACTTACTTCACTTAGCACAATACCCTCTAGTTCCATCCATGTTATTGCAAATGGTAAGATTTCATTCTTTTTTGATGGCTGAGTAGTATTCCATTGTGTGTATCTACACATCTTTATCCACTCATCTGTTGATAGACCCCTGGCCTCTTTTCAGTGTTGGACTATTGTGGACATTGCTGCTATGAATATTGGGGTGGAAGCCTGGGTGGCTCAGTCAGTTAAACATCTGCCTTCAGCTCAGGTCATAATCTCAGGGTCCTGGGATTGAGCCCTGAGCTGGGTTTCCTGCTCATGGAGGAGTCTGCTTGGCCCCCTCTCTCAGCTCCTCCCCACCCTCCCCATGGCCTCTCTCCGATAAGTAACATCTTTGAAAAATAAAATAAATAAATATCGGGGTGCACATGCCCTTTGAATCACTGTATTTGTATCATCTGGACTAATACCTAGCACTGCAATTACTGGGTCATAAGGTAGCTCTATTTTTAACTTTTTGAGGAACCTCCACATTGTTTTCCAGTGCAGGTGCCCCAGCTTGCATTTGCCACCAGCAGCATCAGAGGGTTTCCCATTCTCTACATCCTTGTCAGCATCTGTTGTGTCCTGATTTGTTCAGGCCATTCTGACCAGGGGGAGTAGAATCTCATCATGGTTTTGGATTTGTAGGAAGGGGTCCACTCCTGCCAGAGCGTCACCACGGGGAGGGTCGGCAGAGGAGCACTTCTCGCATATTCCAACCATTCTTGCTTGAGTATTCCTGGCCTCGCTGCTTGTTCCTGTGCGCCCCTCTTTCCCCACGTCCCCCGTGTCCTCTTTGGTACATTCCCCTCACTCTCTCCGTCTCTGTCTCCTCATTCCAGCCCCATGTCCCTTCCTCCCTGGGACCCCCTCCCAAAAAAAACTGAATAAACCCCGCCATCACTGGGCCCAACTAATCTAATGCTAAACTCTGGAACGCCCCCCCCCAAACGTTATTTTGCCCCCCTCCCCCTCTATGTCTTTGTCCCACACTCACCCCTGCTCCATCCCTGCTTGGAGGTCATGGAGTCGGCCCTACATGAGACTCTCATAGAGCCCTGTGAGCAATTCCAACTTTCTCCCCAGCTCCTGGGCATGCTGCCTCAGCACTTCAGCTGACTCTGCCCTTGCCCCCTCATGCAAGTGCCTTGACTCTTTTACAAGGCTGGACACATCCATCAGAAGGAACACACCTGAGCTAGCCATGCCCAGAAACCGGATTCCTTTGGTCATTGCCAGAGCAGTACCTCCAAAAGCTTTCTGCACCAGATTGCCACTTCGAACTGAGACACTCCTACCTGTCATGAGGCGCCTGGCCTTGTCTACCAGGTGAGGTTGGACTTTGGCTACCTTCTTGGCACTATTATTCTTTGCAATTTTTTGCAGATTTCTAAAGAGAGATCCTAAAGAAAGAATTTTGAGCATGGTGTTCTGCAGATCCAATTCAACTCTGTCCCCTTGATCAATACCAGACACCAGGTCACTGGCTTCAGCTCTTGCAGATGATGTGTTTGAGTATTCCACAAGGCTGGTGGACACGTGAGTCACAGTAGCTGCGACTCCCAGCACCGATCCAGTTGTCAAGAGTGTCAGACTGAACCCTGCTGTTACAGGTGCCAGACCCAGACCAAGGATGCCCAGGAGGCCAGACACAGCACCGGTGGAGCTCGCTACCATGTTGGAGATGGTGCAGCGCTTGTGGACCTTGTCAACCTTATCTGCAAGCTCATGGAGCTTTCTTATGCGGTTCTCAAGCTCCGCTTTCAACTGGGGAAACACATTCAAAAAAGTCTCCCTAGCCAGCTCTTCGTCTTCCATATGCATGTGTCCTGTCAGGTCATTCAAACCTTCACGTAGTGTGTCAGCCTCCTCCCTGAAACAGCGAAGGTCTAGTGAGTAAGAAAGACTGATCTGTCAAATGGGCTTGATTTGATCTATCCTACGTAAACCACAGAAAATGTTTACTAGAAATCGAATGGAAAAGAATTTTACAAATGGAATGAACTGTTTCTGCAGTGTTAAACACATTCTTCCCATTGCTCATGTTCCATAAGACACAGTGAGGTCGGGGAAAAATAAGTCCATGTCATCTGAAGATGCTCTTACGCGGTGGGTATTTGAGGAAGATGCCTCTAGAGTCAAGGTCAGGTCAGCCGGTCAGTGCCACAGTGTTTGTAGACTGGGAACTCAGTAGATGAACACAGGGAAGTGGGGTGGGAGCAGAAAAACCTTTGTTGGGAGGCTCTTCGTGTGTACTGAAGGATTAACCTTACCCACAGAGGCCTGCCCTTTGCCTTTGGCACTGGAAGTGAGCTCTAGGCCCTACCTAGGATGTCAAGGCTGTTAGAATGATGATGCCTGGGCCTCAGGCTACTGGACAGCCTGACAAGACGATGTATGATGAGGGCGTTGGGTCATGTGCTGTCAGTTCTGATCTATGGAAGAACTAGAAACTAAAAGCGTTAGTGTGACCTCTAAGTGGAGCTGGAGATCACCAGGTGGCCATGCAGGGAGCATGGGACTGAGCCCCAATAAAAGTCTATACCCTGAGCCTTGGGTTGAAAAAGACTCTCCCCATGACCAAACATTACTCAAGCTCTTCTGAGCCCTCTGCCTGACTAGGCCTTGCCGTTGGTCTTCTGTGCTCTGTCCTTAACAGCCTGGAGTGCCCAGTCTTTGCAAGAACCCTGTTGGATCAGGTTAGTAAGAATCCCCCCACCTTCATGTCTCCTCTTAGTGATTATTCATCCCCAGGCCCCATCCTGCTCCTTGACTAAATCCCTAACTATCTTGCTGTAGTCCCAGTTAAGCCGGATCTCACTGCCCTATGACACTCTCTGGACACCTACAACATGAATTAAGTCTTCTTTGCCGTTTTAATAAGTGTCATGATAATTGTTTACTTTCACACTGAGAGCTTCCCTGCTGGGCAATGCTCCACATGCTATTGTTACACACTGAATACATGACAGTAATGCATCCTGAGGACAATTGAAGCTTTGCACTGGAAACCCTCCAGGCCTCTGCCCCAAGTGTCTCTTTTCTTGGCTGAAGGTAACCTGTATCCTGCCCTGTGACACAGCATTACCGAGAGTGACAGCTCTCAGTGAGCTCTACAAGTGCTTCCAGAGACTCATCCAATCTTGGGTGGTTTGGGGAACCCCACTGCCACAATTACCAGTTGGTGCCAAAAGTAAGGGCAATTGTAGGGAGGGTGCTCTCAGACTTTACAGTGTAGCTCACTGTGGGAACTTGGAATTAAAGAAAAAAAAATAACAACCCCTCAGGGCAAGAAGGGATCTTAATGATCATTTTGCTTGGCACCTGCTCTCTCATCCCAAGCATGATGTCCTCTGCTGGGGCCCAGCCACTGCCCCAACTGACTGAGAGGCAGCACACCTGCTCCCTGGTTCCCTCAGCCTCTCCAGCACATATCACTGACCCTCGACCCAGCACCCAGCACACCTGACCTCATAGGTGTCACCAACCTAATTCACACCTTAGCTGGTGACAGCTTCACATGCATGTCCACCAAGACCATGTGCAACTTGACAAAGAGATCTTGAGAACCGTCTATCTGAAGCACTAAGCCAGAAAAGACCTGCCTTTGGGCAAGCTGGTGGAGGAAGTACTTTCCTCTTTGGTGGGCACTTCTGAGTCTCAGAATCCCTCAATGAGGACAGAATTGGCAAATGCCCCACTGGAGCTGGAAGCTGTCACATAGCCACACTAACTCCCACTGGCCTGGCCCTGCTCTATGTAGATGACAAGAGCTTCCAACTGGTAGTCAATACTCCCAAACTCCCAGGCAAAGCATAGAGGAAACACCTTCCTATAGCCCCGGATGCCTGGGGGAAGGAGATCAAAGAAGCAAGAGGAAAAAGGTCCCCTCTCCCTCTCACAACATCTCTGCTACGTCCAGGGCCTCCACAAGTTTTGTGCCCTAGAGCTTCACCCAGGCCCCGCCCTGCTGCCCAATCCTACCTGGTCCTCCAACCTAGAACCCCTTGTCCATCCTGACCACCAGCAGGAACAGATCCAAGCCTCCTGGGCTTTTGGACGGAATGACTGCCTTTGGATCCTCACCTTTGACCTTGCAATTCACACTGAGACCTTTAGCACAATCTTATCAGATTCAATTCCAGCTTCCATTGAATAAATGGCAAATCTGAGACTCCAAGACATACAGACCTAGAGACCCCCAGGACTGGGCAAAGATAGAATCAGGATTCAACCCAGTTCAGTCCAATTCCAGTTTCTCCACAGACTGATGTGTCAGTATTCTTCTGAATTGTCCCAGAGGAAGTCCTGTTTAGCCCTCATCTCATGGAAGAAGACCCATGGCCCCTGACTTCTCCCAGTAATCCTCTGAAAAGTTAACATTAATTGAGTACCTACTATGTGTCAGTCACTATGCTAAGTAATTTATATGCATTATCTTAGTTTCTTCAGATAAAATTCAACAGTTGAAGAGACCAAGGCAGAGATAGTTCTACTTTATGTTGAGGTCCAAGGTCACATAACCTGCCCTCTACAGGTTTCCCTTCTCAATCCGAGGCCATTCACTGCCAGTGAATATCATGGAAGACATATTCCTTATGGATTGTTGAGAGGGAACATACTCAGCCTCCACCCCAGGATCCTGCCAATCAGAGATCGGGGTGACCATTGTGGGGCATCCCTGAGGTGTTACCTGGACAATGAGGCCACAGCCACAGCCACAAATCTCTCCCAGGCTTCATGGTCGTTCAATAGGTGATGCAGTACTTCTGGGCTCACGGTGTTCTGGAAATACGCAATAGCATCCTCAAGAAAACTTTCGTTCTCTAGATGGAAAGAAAGAATGAAGGGTTGTTTAGTTTTTTTCTTTTTCCTGTTACACTAAGAGAGAGAGATAACCAGAGCGTAGCTGGAGGGAAACCACAGCTTTAAAGCTATGTATTTATGGATAAAGGAGGGAAGAGCTGAGAACTGGCCTAGGCAGGGGTACTGAGATCAAAGAATCAGTTCCTGCTCTGCTTTCAATACTGATAAGCAGATGCTTAGTTGGGACACAGGGCAAGTGCCCTAATATAGCCGTCAGGGTGGGGAATGCTGGGAGAGAGGAGGTAAGTAACAGGATCCAGGTCAAGAGGAGAGTAACAATACTTAGAGAGAACATCCAGTGTAGCAGGTACTGGCCCAAACCACATAAACACAGTATATTTGATCCTCATAACAACATAAGGAAACATCCACATTTATAGATAAGGTTAAGTAAGGCACCCAGGTCACACAGGTGGGTTGTGGCAAAGACCCGACTGGGGGCCTGGTCGGTGTCCCACTGACCCTCACAGAGCAGTCAGGCTGGCAGCAGGGTGAGAGCTGGAGGGAATGGCCTCTGTTGCAAAGCCCCCAGTCATCTTGAGCCATGCCGGAGGCTTGACCAAGGCAAGAGGGCAGGAGAGGCCTCCAAGGTTGCCGGTCTACCTCCTCTCCCACCCTGCTTCAGGACCCATTCTCCCTCCTTTCTTCTCTGTTGCCCCCCCCCCCCCGCCCACTCCTCCGCATCCTGTGTGCTATCCTGGCCTCACTTCTGGGTCATTTGAAGGATAGCAAGGGGAGGGAGGAAATGGGCATCTAGGTCATGACTCTGAGAAGGCAGGAGGGAAGTGTCCCTACAGACCCTGTGGTGGGGACTCCCCTTGACCCTTCTTGGGGGCTCAATGACACTCTCAAGGGACTGACTCCCTGTAGGTTAACTCAGCTGGAGGCATCCCCGCAATACCAGACATCATCCAGAAAGTGGAAAGTGACTACCTGGGGAGAGTTCACGGCTTTCCGAGGTCATGGTGCCAGCAGTGGGATCTGAGGGTTTCCCTACAGTTGTGTCTGTGTCTCAGCTGGAAGGAAGTATTGCAGAAGAGATTCAGCCTTGGGGAAGAGAGAACAAATGGTGGGGTCAAATGTGAGCCAGCTGTGGCAACAGGGAGCAGCCAGGGTCCAGGCCTCTGGTGGTTCCCTCTGGGATGGCCACAAATGCCAAAATGGACTTAACCCCATGTGTTTGTCCACTGGCCTCGGCTGGCTGCTACTTAAGGAAGGTTCCTCACCTCACTCCAACTCACTCCCAAGCCAAGTCAGAGTCCTGTCCTCCTGTTGGGGCACAAGGAGAAGATAATCAGACAAGGAGACTGCCATCTGAGAAGCTACGGAAGCAATAAAACCAAACACAGAAGAAAAGATGGGAAGACATGTTCTGGAAATTCCTTGAGGTCAAGAACATGTGTGTTTCCTAATTGATAATAGTTAATATTGATCCACTATCTAGGACAGGCGGGGCTCCTTACTTCAACAACAACAACAACCAAAAAATAAGCTGGACTAAGTAAAACTTTTAAAAAATGACATCAAGGGATCCCTGGGTGGCGCAGCGGTTTGGCGCCTGCCTTTGGCCCAGGGCCCGATCCTGGAGACCCGGGATCGAATCCCACATCAGACTCCTGGTGCATGGAGCCTGCTTCTCCCTCTGCCTGTGTCTCTGCCTCTCTCTCTCTCTCTCTCTCTGTGTGTGACTATCATAAATAAATAAAAATTAAAAAAAAAAAAAATTAAAATTTAAAAAAAAAAAAAAAAAAGGAAAAATGACATCAAAAGAATTTTGTAATTTCAATATAATTTCATGAATAAATAAATAAAATAAAATAAAATAAAATAAAATAGGGATCCCTGGGTGGCGCAGCGGTTTGGCGCCTGCCTTTGGCCCAGGGTGCGATCCTGGAGACCCAGGATCGAATCCCATGTCAGGCTCCCGGTGCATGGAGCCTGCTTCTCCCTCTGCCTGTGTCTCTGCCTCTCTCTCTCTCTGTATGACTATCGTAAATAAATAAAATAAAAATAAATAAAATAAATAAAATAAAATAAATAATTTTTTAAACCTTGAATCAGTGTCCTCAGGGAGATCAGAAAGGTGTATTCTTCATAAAATGAGAACAGGATGCACTGAAAAGGGCAAAAAAAATTAATGGGACCAAAAAAGAGATCTTGGGTATTAAAAAGTGACCAACAAACTAAAGACGTCTAAGGAAAGGTTGCAAAGGCTAAGGAAAACTTCCAGAAAGTGAAATGAAAATGTGAAAAAATAAATGGAACTAAAGGGGGAATGACAAGTTACCCTTGCAGTCTTTTCTTAGCAAATCACTTGAGGAAGAGCTGCAGGAAAAAAAAGTTTGTGTGCTTATGGGGGAAGTTGACGGTACTAACCAAGACAGAAAGATGTGAGGGATCCAGGAAACAGGAAACAGAACATAGGGAGAAAGGAATCCAAGGAATACAGTGGGGCATGCAGCAAGCCTAGGGAACAACCAGCCCAGGATGGAATAAGAAGTGAATAGTTCTGTGGGGAAAGGGGACTTGATCTAATACCTCACATAATGCACAGTTGTAAAGAAATTGAGGAAATGTTGAGCGCAACACGGCAAGGTGCAAAAACAAAGGCAACTAGAAAATTAGGAAAAACTAAAGCTGTGCAAGGAAGCATGTGCAACTGTATTTCACAAGTTACCTCTACAGTAAACATTACTGAAAACAACACAAAGATGTAAACAATCTTGTTTGCTTTTTCACTTTAAGAACACAAGAGACTATTAAATAAGAGAACTACATGCCCTGGTTGCCAATCAACATGCACCTAAAATGCAATAGCAGAAGCTGAGAGGTGAAGCATGAAGAGAGGAGAAGGATTAACATCCTCATTTCACAGAGTGCGGAGTCCAAAAATCCTGAGTGCAATTGAGAGGCTAAGAAATAAAGACATAAGAAAAAAAGGAAAAAGAAACAAAGGTGTAATTAAATTGTGACCAGCAGAAAGGTTTCTGTTTTTTTTCTTTGTTTTTCTTTCCTTTTTTTTTTTTTTTAAACTAGAAAGGTTTCTAATAGAGGATATAATATTAGGGCTATATTATTAGGAGAAGGTGGAAAAGTGTGTAAAAGAAAGTATAAAAATAAGTGAAACTCTTCTCTGTCCTGGTAAGAAAGAACTTTTAAATATCACAATTTAAAAATCACAATTTAAAAATCAAGGGAAAGAGATTAGCTCTAGTGGTTGAGGACTACCTGCATTGCACCAGGCACTGTTCTAAATGCTCTGTGTGAATTAACTCATATACGAGTTCTCACCATGACTCTGTAAGAAAAGGAACCGAAGCTCTGAAAGGTTAAATAATTTATCCAAGCAGCCGGCTAGTGCCAGAGCCGGGACTCAAATCCAGACTTCCTGTCTCCCAGAGCCAACTCTTGCACCTATTCTGTTTCCAGTGTAAGAATATCACTTAAAGATCTTGATGAACCACGTAAAGAAAAAGCAAAAAATTAAAAGCACCTGCGTTTCATTGGGAAGGTGGGTGGGCATATGGGTAAAAACAAGTCAGTTAGTAGAGAGGGAATCCGTACTCTCCAGGAGTGGCCCTGGTGGCTTCAGGCTGAGGGGCACTGACCAGAAGGCCGTGGGTGGACCCTGTGTCAGGACAGGAGCAAAGCAGAAACACAGCTCTCGGGTGATCAGGGCAGGCCCAGCGAGGGGGGCACACGGCTCCCAGCAGGTCCCTCTCTCTGTCTCCAAGCCACTGTGGCTCTGCTCGCGTCCTGCCACCCATGCACGGCCAGCTCTTTGCTCTCAGCTCTGGCCTTCACAACGCTTTGGTTCTCCTGGCCTTGCTGCATCCTGCCCACCAGGTCCCACACACCTCCACGCTCCTCCAAGGCCACTGACCACCCCCTCCGCCTGCTGCCCCTCGTCTCTGGGCCTGGACATCAGGGACGAGTTTACTGGTCGTCTTTGCAGCAAGGGCTGGCTGTCCGGCCCAGCCTCGGCCAACAAGATGCAAGGGGACCTCAGCTTAGGGGGGGTCCCTTGACCCTGGAGAGGGGGGAGGGGCAAGGCAGCCAAATGACACCATGAAGCCCAAGGACCAAGAGAAGAAGGAGGAGAACCCGGGGTGACACCAGACGTTTGCCAGAGATCCATCTGTCCTGTCTTCTGCTATTCTTGGCCTGGCCCTGCCCTCGGCCTGGGCCTCAGCTGGCCTTGGAGGCCGGACTGTGCTCCCTCCTGCTTGCTTAGTACCCGGGGTCCTCGGCCAGCCTGCGGATAGCTCAGTTCCCGGCAAGGCCGTCAGGAGGAGAAGGAGGGAACCCGACTGCACGGCCCGGACAGGACAGGGGCCCTACTGGCCCCACCGGCTCTGTCTAAGCTCCAAGGCAGCAGGACCGAGATCCTCACACAGCATCGCCCTGCAAGTGGCTGAGGCCCCTGCTCCTGGGCAGGAAAGGGAGGAGGAGCTGGAATCAGCCTCACAGCCCTTGGCCTGGCCTCGGGCCCCCACCTGCACACCCCTGTGTTCCTCTCTGCTCCCCACCTGCATGTCGCCTCCGTCCAGGCACCCCACGCACCCCTCCTTCCGGCTTCTATTTTTCTTTTTTAATTTTTATTTTAAGGAGGCTGGAAGCCCAACGGGGAGCTTGAACTCACCACCCTGAGATCAAGAGTCGCAGGCTCGACCTGCCCCGGCCTTGCTTCTGATCACACCTCAGCCTCCAGGCCTCGGCTTAGGTGGCTCCTTCCACCCCGGGATTCCGTCCCCCACCTCCCTCACCAGGTCAGGGTTTGGAGCCCCCCTCTCTGCGCTGAGAGGCTCAGGAGCCCGACCTCCTCCTCCCCTGCCGGTTTCCCCCACTGACTGACCCTCCGGGTTCCCCTGAATATAAGCTAGAGAGAAAATGCTACAAAAGTCCTGGAAGAAATACTAAAAGACAAAAAAATAATGTTGGTTGGGGAATCGTTTCTAGTCAAGATGGAAATCCCGGATGCAATAAAGGGAAAGTTTCAGTGATCTGACCTGTTAAAAATTGCAAAGGGCACCATGAACAAAGTCAGCACAGCGAGAGGTCAGGAGGTACTAGCCAGGATCTGAGAGCAGAGAAGAGCTGAGCGGGCCCCAAACACGACAGATCCTATGAATCAGCGTGAAGAGAACAAAGCCAAGTTTTGAAGAGACGTGAACAAAGAATCTCCAGGGAAGGGACTCACCCAGGGTCACACAGTCTCCGAGGGCGGGCGGGTGCACAGGGCTTCCAATGCAGGGGTCTGAGGAGGAAAGTGACTTTAACCATCCAAAGGCCTCTAGGTTTGTCTCTGCCGGCAGAGACACACAGATCTAAGCTCACACCCTTAGAGTGGTGCCCACAGGTCTACACTTCGGCGTTTTCAGATTATGAAGTCCACCGGCCTCTGCTGCGACCACAGACCCTTAACACCCGCCTCCACCTTCTTTCTGTCTTTCTTTCTCTTTCACTTTTAGTATCTATTCATGAGTGACACAGAGAGGCAGAGACATAGGCACAGGGAGAAGATGAGGGGCTCCTTCCCAGGACCCCGGGACCATGACCTGAGCCTAAGGCAGACACTCAACCACTGAGCCACACAGGTGCCCCTCTGGCTCTTTTTTTTTTTTTTTAAGAAGTTATTAATGATTTGAGAGAGAGGACAACAAGCAAGCAGCAGGGCTAGTGACAGAGGGAGAAGGAGAAGCAGGCTCCCCCCTGAGCAGGGAGGATGTGGGGCTCCATGCAAGACCCTAGGATCATGATCTGAGCCAACCAGGCCCCGCCCCCCTCTTTCTGATGGGGACACACAGGCCTCTCCTCTCTTCCTGCCCCACAGAACACGGAAGAGAGAGCACAGTTGGGGGGGCGGGGGGAGCAAAGCCTGGCCACCCCCCTGCTCTGTCCCCAGGTCACAGTCACCCCACCGTGGGCAGTCACTCCCCCTCAGGTTCCCTGCAGGCCTTGGCCCTGAGCAGGCCTTCAGAGACAATGTGGGCGACACAAGGACCCCAAATCCTGGTACCTCAAGACAACCCACCCGAGCCTTTGCACCCCACAGAACTCCTTTGCTGGTCAGCCTGGCAGCAGCACCCTGGGGGCGCCCCAGAGGCTCTGACTCCCCTCCCCTCCTCCACCTCCTCTGCTTCCTCCTAATTCCCCAAAGACATGAGCCTCCCGACCTGGCCTTGCCCTCTCAGCCTCGAGGGCCGGCTGGAACCCTCTGGAACCCGGGCTGAGCACTGTCCCCTCCCTCTCTACTGTTTGGGGGCTCAGGGGGAGGGGGGAAGCTATCAGAGGAACGAACCCGGGTTCCAATCCGGGATGTGTCCCTGCTTAGCTTAGGGCCTGGGCTGGAGCTCCAGGTCACAGGGATCCTTTCCTTATAGAGTGGCTTGGAGGGTGAGCCGCCGGGCCGGGCCCTAGCCCCCAGCTTACCAAGGGCTCTTCCTCCCACTCAGCCCACCATGTCCAGCTGGTCTCAGCCGTGGGGACCCGGTCGCCGCTGGGTGTCTTGCGGGAACCACACGGCTGGGCCCAAAGAGATCAGGGCCCCGCAGGGAAATGGAAACCCCCACAGCTCGTGGTGAACCAATGACACCCAGGCTCATGCGGAGCCCGCCCTCCCTGGACAGTCCCCCACCGCCACAGGAGCAACCGCGCCCCTGACACCCCCCACCCCCCACACAAGCGTCCCCCTCCACCCTGTGGCTTCCTGCCCAGCCCCCTCCTCCCTGTCCTCCCACCCCACTCCCCCCCACGCCCGCCTTATTCTACTTCCTGCCCCAACTTACCGGATGCTCCCTGCACACCTACCACTTCACAGCCACTAAAGGCCACACCCACGTGGCTCCTAGGCACCTGGTACCCAGATGCCGCTGCAGGAGCACCTGCTTCTGCCACTCGGAACAATCGGGCTCATACATCAAAGCCCAAATCTAGCATCACTGCCTCTGAGAAGCCCTCCGCACCGGCCTGGCAAAGTCCACGGTCCCTTACTCTGCTCCCATGAGCCCTGGGGGAGGGCTTAGCTCCCCGGCTTGGCCACCAGGTCCCGGTCTTTGCTCCACCACCGTGGATCTAACCTGGTGTCTCTAGACTTGTCCCTGATGTCAGGGACACGCCAGCAGGCCCATCCTTGGTGGCCAAGTGCTGTTTGCTCGGGTGCAGACCTTGTGGGAGAGGAATGAGGGTAAGGCTGTTTTCTCAAAAAAAAAAAAAAGGGGGCTGTTTTCTCTCCACCTATTTCCACTTGATGTAAGATCTCTTTCTCTTTCTCTTTCTCTCTTCCAGGAAGGCTAGTGTTTCTAGGAAACAGAAACAGCCAGCGAGGTCTCCTTCCCACTGGGAAGGCAGATGCCCAACAGCTGAGTCACGCAGGCGTCCCTTAGCCACTATGTCTAAAACAAAGGACCATAACGGGTGGGTGGGAGGTGGGCAGCTCGGCTCCTTCCCTAGCACAGTGTTTATGGAGATGGCTCTCTTTCAAGGGGATCCAACAGCAACGAAAACCGAAATCACGGTTACGCTCCGTTACAAAAAAGGGAGGCACCTGGCCAGCTCAGTCCATGGAGCTGGCGACTCTTGGTCTCAGGGTCATGAATTCGAGCACCATGGTGGCTGTGGACATTACTAAAAGTAATTTTATACTTAAAATCCCCAAAACCAAAGAATAAAAATGATGGTGGTCCTGGCCACAAAACATTGTGAAAGTATTTAATGTTACTGAAGTGTTGGGCGCCTGGGGGTTCAGTGGTTGAGCGTCTGCCTTTGGCTCAGGGTGTACCCCGGCGTTCTGGGATCGAGTCCCGCATCAGGCTCCCCGCAGGGAGCCTGCTTCTCCCTCTGCCTGTGTCTCTACCTCTGTGTGTCTCATGAATAAATAAATAACATTTTAAAAAGAACACTACTGACGTGTATGCTGAACAATGGCTATGACGGGAATGCGGTGGTGTGCACACCCACCAATTGCTTAAAATGGTGGGGTGCCTGGGTGGCTCAGCAGGTTAAGTGGCCAAATAACTCTTGGTTTCGACTCAGGTCACGATCTTAGAGTCGTGCAATCGCCCTCTGCCTTGTATTCAGAGAAGAGTCAGCTTGGAGATTCTCTCCCTCTGCCCTTACCTCTGCTAATGCTCTGTTTCTTTCTCTCAAATGGAGGAAGGGATGTTTAACAAATTTTTTTAATTAAAAAAAAATTGTTAAAATGGTGAGCACCGACATCCGGCAACATGCACAGATCTAGAGGATATGATGCTAAGTAAGTCAGTTAGAGAAAGATGAATGCCATATGATTCCACTCATCTGTGGAATTTAAGAAACAATACAAATGAACAAAGAAAAAAGAAACAAAAATGAACTCCAGACTCTTTTTTAATGTTTCAAGTTTTTATTTAAGTCAGACTCTTAAACACAGAAAAGACACACTGGTGGTTGCAGGAGGGAGTCGCAGGAGGAAGTGTATGGGGGGACAGGGGAACAGGATGAGGAGAGCGCTTGTCATGATGAGCGCTGAGTAACGTACAGAACTGCTGAATTTCTGTATTATACACCTGAAACTAACGTAACACTGCATGTTAACTATACTCGAATTCGAATTTTTAAAGTTAATTAATTTTTTAAAAGAACGCACTTCTTGTGATGCATGTGGAGAAACAGAAAAAATTGTTTCATCATATTGTGCACCTGAAACGCATATAAGACTGTATATTAACTATACTTGAATAAAAACAAAATAAGAAACGAAAAATAATAAATCCCTAAGAAGCCCAGCCTTGGTGGAAAAAAATAACAGCACCTGACTCCTCCACGAGGGCTGTGCAAAGCATTCTCCCGCATGACGGTATGCGCTACAGCAGCCCGGGAGGAAAACTTTTTGTATCCTTGTCTCACAAAAGAGAAGTCTGTGGTTCAGACGCTGAAACGACTTGCCCACGAAGGGGGGGGGGGGGTCTGGCCTCCCTGGTTCGTGTTCTTGGCTCCTTGGCTGTCCCCTGTGAAAATGTGGGACACAAACCATCCCCGAAGGTGGAGGGGAGCCCTGCAGCCCAAAGAAGGCAGATTGGAATTGTCTTGACATGGGAGGATGCTTTCCATGTAGGGATTTTATCCTCTGCTGTCAAGAAAAAGAAAGAAGATCCCTCCCTGCCCAAACCCGACGTGCTACCCACCACCGGCGGCCAGTGAGCAACCGCACCAACCTTGAATTCCTCTTCTTCCCCATGGAGCTTGTGTTCCAAACAACCCTCCCAGATTTCCTCCAAAAAGGGAATAAAAGCTACCTTGCCTTTGTCTCTCCTGACTTGCCATGGTTTGTTCTGAACTGCCATTCCTCTGCTGTTCTCGAATAAACTCATTTTGCTGGTAAAATGGCCCTTTTATTTTTAAGGTTGACAGCCCAGAGGGAGAGAAATCCTTAAAACCCTCAAGTATTCTAAAAATGTGGTTTTCAGCCCTAAGTTCTCCCTGTTGGCTGGAGATGAGTCACAAAACTTCCAATACCACGAGAACTGGCTGCTGGATCTCAGCAGGCCAGCGGGCGCGCCCGACAGTCAGTCCCCAGTGGCCGGGCTGCAGGGGGTGGGGGCTAGGGCTGGCTGGGCCCATGTTGGCCCGCAGCCCCTGGCGCAGGTGTCAGGTGCTCCTGACCCAGCTCCCCACCTCCAGGTGCTGCCCTGAAGTGCTTCTGTCAGGGCGCCGTAGGCCCAAACCCCGCTGTGTTCAGGTCTCCCTTCCACGAGTGGTGGAGACTTCGGGGCATCACACAGCCCTGCTCAAATGCCCCCCTCCCAGCTTCTCACCACACCTCGGTTTCCTTGCTTTTGGAAAGTGTACATACCTGACCGTGGTACTGAGGGGATAAAGAGAGGAAGGGAGGAACTGTGCTCGGCACACAGTAGGTGCTTAATTAATAAGAATTGCAATTTCCTGAGCACTCACTGTGTAGCTCAGGCACTGAGCAGCCCCAGTATCTGCATGACCTCCGTCCGTCTTCCCAGCACACCCTTGAGGGCGTCTGCTGTCCCGGTCACCTCCATGTTCAGACGAGGACACACACGGACTTGAAAATCAAGTCCTTTCCCCCAGATCATGAAGCTGCCTGTCACCGACTCCCTTGGTCCTGCTCGTCCAGAACTCAGCTCCGGAGGAACCTCCAGAGAGCAGGCTTTGTCTGACAGCGAAGGAAGCTCCTGGAACTCAGCACCTAGGTCTGTGTCCCTAACCCCAGTCAAGCACACAGTAGGTACTCAGTAACTGAAGTCAGCAGAAGTTTCCAGGAGATCCTCTTAGCGCCCTTGCCCCGGGCCCAGCCTGCCTTTTGAGCTTACCCTTCCCTGCACAACCACCGCCCCTCATCCAAGCCTGTACCTCAGCCATGTTGCACTTCCAGAAGTTTCCAGAAGATGCACAAAGTAGGTGCCCGCTGCAGAAGCCCAGCACAGTCCCATTCAGGCCACCTGCTTGGACACACAGACACCACCAGACACAGGGTCGTAGCACATGGTTCTCTTTATTGTGATGCTCAGTGGAAAACATCTGTAAACCAGCTTACTGTAGTGGTGACAGCTGTAACACATGCTAAGGCACTTTTATTATATAAAAAAGGGGTGGGGCTGGGAGCTCCGTTCACTCCTTTGTGACAGCAACTGGGACCTGAATTCAGAGCTTTTTAGCCATATGTAGCTTTCATATATCATGACTTCAGTTGGTTTTTCTTTAAAAAAAAAAAAAATGCCTTCTTTGCTATAAGTAAGTCTAAATGCAGCATATACAAAACAGTTAGGAATACAGGTAAATTCAGCAACCAGTGTAGACCAGTGTAGGACAAGCTACTCTCTTCTAAACATGGTTCCAAAGGAAAGGCAGTGATAAAGACTTGGAATTTTATCATTTATTATAAGGGGAGGGAAACTTTTTTTCTCCTTTCAAACACAACCGTGCAGATGACAGATTTTTAAACCATACCGAGTCCTCGGTGCGGATAGTCTACACTCGGGCCCCAGTCTCTGAGTAGGTACAAGGTCATGCGGGAGGGCCACTGGCCCTTTGCAATGCTCTGGCTGTCAGACTCGGGACAAGTCCCTTAACCATTAAATATATTTGGTCCCCAAGAACGTTGGGAGAAGCCACTGCTGGCCTTTCCAGCTTGGCCCCGAGGCCCTGTCTGCTTGGCCCGGCCCCGCTGTGGCAGGGGCAGGCTGCCCTCGGCAAAGGAGGGAAGGGGGTTGTCATTGCACTTGAGACACTTTAGAAACAGGAGGGGACAGTGGCGCTGCCCAGAGCAGGTGGGGAGGAACGACTCTCCTTCCCCGCCCCCCACAGTCTGTGCCCGCACAGAGGTGGCGGCCCTGGGCCTGCTCTTCCCCAATCACCCAGGGCCCAAGGGAGTCGGCGGGGGGCCAATGGGGCGGAGGTTGTGAGGTCGCCGTGTGTGATTGCCAACAGCAAAGGAGGAGGGGGAGCTGGTGGCGGAGGTGGGGGAAGGTGACAACTCTCCTGGGGTGTCGGGCTATCAAAACTTCTTAGTCTGAAGAAAAATAGATTCGTAGAAAACTCTTTGCCCCTCCCCGGTGGCCCGCCCTCCTTGCCTCGCCATCTTGTGCTTTTTTGGCAAGAGAGGGCCAAAGATCCTGCTGGTCACTCTGTTCCCAGGCCAGTGGCCCAAGACTCTGACTCTTTGGTATCAGGTTCTGGGGGTAGGAGGGGAGCAGGAGGGGGCTGCAGCAGAGAAAGCCGAACGCCCTGAAAAGGCCTGGGGTGGGGAGCGGGCAGGGAGGCACAGGCCTGAGGTCCCCTGGCCTGGCAGGACTGGGTGAGGAGATCATAGTCACAGCAGTCCCAAGAAGGTGGACGGGGAGCTGCGGGGCTGGAAAGGGGAGGCGGAGTCGTCTGTCTCGGGCAGCCGGAGGAGTGGTTACTCGGCAGCTTTGGCCTCAGCCCCGTCCGCCTTGCCATCCACCTCCTCGTCTGAGCAGTCGCCAGCACCTTTCCGGGCCACCCGGCGGGGCACAACAAATGGCAGGTCCCCTCGCCTGGGGGCAGAGGCACAGGGTCAGCAGGGTCGCTAGGGTGGCCGAGTACCGCTCGCACACTTCAATGCCATCTTTAGAGGGACATGAGGCCTAGACATCCGACGGGGCCTCAGGCCCCCTGGCCTCCCACTTTACCCCAGAACACG